AGTTTTTTTTTTGGGGGGGGGGTATCTAAGCCAAAAAAGACTTGGAGTGAATTTGGAGAAATAGCATTCAAATTTGCAGCTCCTTCCTCCTTCATCACTTCCAATAAAACCTGAAGGATCAGCTCTCACTGGCTGTATTTGAGGCCATAAAAAGGACTTGAACGCTGTTATTTTAGGCTGCAAAAGCTCGTGTTTTATGGCCTGAGTTGAGACAATGATTTTAATGGATATTTTAGTTTTAATTGGCACTGAAGTTCACTTTTTAAATCTTTATCTCTTCTACACTGTTATGCTTATTTTTATGTATTTTTGCTGTGTGTGTTACTGCAGCCAACCACCAAATGGAGTAAACAAATCAAATCAGCATTTCCACCTGCCCTTCGTGTCGTTAGGAGGCCTCAAAGATACATTTGAGATGTGGATGATTCCTAAAAATCATCCTACAGTGCGTGTGTGCACTCAGTCTACAGAAAGAAATCCTCTAAAAACACGTCTGAGCTTTTACAGTCTGAGGGTTGATCAGTACAATAGGTTGTGTATATATTTCGTGTACAGGGTTTCCTCCCAGAGAGGACGAACTCAGCTGTCAACTCGCTGACTAAAAACCTTCAGGATAACATTTAATTAAATTAGGACGAATTAATTAGGAATTTGGGTTCAACTGGGAATTAAGAACTGAACCAGGATTCAAATTAAGCTTTATCATTTTTCTATTTTAAAAGTAGAACATCAGTGATCGAGCAGCTCATCCAGCCCAGGTTTTTGTATGTGCAGAGAATCAAATTTGAGTCCTTTATGGCTGCACCCGTTCAGCCAGCCAATTCAGCTTTTTTCCTGAAAATCTGTCCCAGAACACTTCCTGTCGATTCATCAGGAATCCTCTCACCCTTCAAAACTGTGTTAAACTCACTCCCCTCTCACCTGTACCTCCACGGGTACATCCTCTGTCCCGACCACCATTCTCCTTTTCCACTTCAGAGCTGCCAGCTCCATCCACCCACTCTCGTTTTTAATCTCATTTAAATTGTGAATGATCTGTGGCAAACGGGAAACATGGTACCAGAAATTCCAGGGACAAAGACTTGTTTTGTGGCAAAGTTAGCAAACTTTTTAAACTTTTATTTTTTAGGATTATTTCAGTTATAAATAAAAGGAACAATTCAAATATAAACAATGCCTTAACAGTGAAATGTTAAAACAACCAGAGTCATCAAAGAGCTGGTTTGTATTCACCTCTGCTTGCCTCCTCAGCACAGCGGTATTCAAGCTCAGCTGATCCACTGATCGTGTCCTAAATCTGTCTCTGCTTCACTGCAAGGCGGCAAAATCTCATTGCACTGAATGTAATTCAGACTATCTTGAAAGGAGATGTGTGTGTTTCTAAAGCTGAACTCACCAAACATTCACTCCAGGACATCAATAGACATTTTCACCACACGTTCACTATATAACATTTATATAGGCGACTGCGTTTGCTCCATCAGCACCACACCTTCATCGTAATTAGAAAAGTACTCAGGTTTCACTTCACACTGCTGTGATGTGGGCCAAGTGTGGAAAAGGAGGCATTTCAGTGGGAAATCCCTGTGTGCAGTGTATTTGCTTTACCAAGGCCCAGCTTCACCTTCAATAAAAACACTGCTACTCAGACTTAATAGTTTAAGTCAGACAGTAATGGTCCACCTAGAGCTTCACCTCTTTTTGGCTCCTGCTACATGCAGCGGCTTGTGGCCAAATGTCTTCCTCTGCTGGCGCAGTCATCGCTGCCCATGAAGACGTGCACAGCTGACGACCCTGAACAATTAATTATGTCACAGCGCAGGAAACCAATGTCCTCAATAAAGGCTTCATTAGAATACGCATCTTATTCTTCTGGCTTTCTGCTATTCTACTAACCCAGCTTTGCTCACTTTTAGAAACTTTAGCTGCAGCCATGTTCGGGTGATGGCGTATCAGCATATATCAGCATATCTAGTTTTAGGAAAATTAAAAGTGAGTAATATTAGTTTTACCACCAAACTCCAAACTATTGGCTTGATAACCAACTTTCCTAACATGCTTTTTTAACTGGCTATCAGGATACTGGTTATGAGGAAGGGCAGCAGGGCACGTGTCTCCATCCAGCCCCTCTGGGCTTTTCAGAAATGACCTCTGTGTCACATGGATATGGACTTTTGTGCTACTGTGTTTGCTGCAAGTGCTTGTTTATGAATTCATTTCTGCTGTGGATTCAAATGTAAGACTTTAGGTCATAAGTGAATTTCAGCTGTGATCCAGTGTTTACAGTACTTTCCTCTAACCTCCACCAAACATTATTAGTCACAATATCACGCTCTAATTATAAATTTAAGACTGCTTACATGACGCCGACACCATGACTTCACTGAGTTCAGAGAGTGTGTTTGTCACGTAACTTCCAGGAAGCTCCTCGCTCCTGTCAGAGTTCCTGAACTCACACCAAACCACACGCTCGGATGTTTGCTGCCTTTTGTTTTCTACTTCACTGCTGCAGTAATGCTGAGGCCAGTTCATCATAGACTGTGTGTTTCTATGCAGATATGCTTTTACTGCACTGGCCGTGTGTTTGGGACGATTGTCATGCTGAAAAGTCATCACCCATCAAATATCCCAGATGTTATTATATGGTGGATATGTACTAAGTATTTATACTATATATGAATATATATATATACTTTTCTGTTATGATGCTTCTTTAAAGTTTGACAAGATCTCCGACCCCGCTGGTGGAAACAGCCCCAAACCACGACAGAGCCTTCACTCTGTCGGCTGTAGACGCACACTGGTGACCTCTGACCTCCTCCATACATACTGATGATTATTTCAACTAACTGCCAATTTCCCATTTACCTGTTGGCACAGATTTTCAGTCTCATGTAACTGGCATACCTCAAAAACCAAAAACTGTAATAAAAGCAGCAAAGTGCATGAAAAACAATCTTTGTAGTACTGCCACGTCCACAAAAGAACATTTCATTTAAAAGACCATCTGTGTCGTCGTTGGTATTTGTTAACCTTCAAATTTTGATGCCTGTTATTTTCACTAGTTCACTACCAAACACCTCAGCACAGTATTTGGCATTAATCTGTAATCATGTCAACAAGGAACGATCATCTACAAACTAACCATCGATTCTCATCTGCTTGTCCTTTTCAGGGACAGCTATCCCAGGGCAAGAGGCGGGGTACACACAGTCATAACTATGGGAAATTTAGCGTTTCCAGTTAAGCTAACTCCACTATCTGCATGTCTTTGGACTGTGGGAGGAAGCCAGAGTACCCGGGGAGAACACGCAAACTCCACACAGAAAGACCGCGGCCTGATGGTGGAATTGAACTCAGGACCTTCTTGCTGTGAGGCAACAGTGCTGACCACAGCTGGCTCAGACTGCGTTGCTAACAGAATAATTTACAGCCTATATCAGCCCTGATAGCATATTCATCTTGTAGTACTGCAGTAGTTTGTGTGTGAAGGAGCTATCAGCTGATGATTCTGTGGTTTACAGGGACATCTAGTGGCCAAGTATGGAAATTACACAAAGGGAAACGATCAAAGATCTATAGAAACATCCACGTAAATCACAACTGACCACAAATCTTTATTTTTTGTTTGTTTGTTGTAACCATAAAAAGAAAACAATGGTTGCTGTTTGTTATTTAATCGTTTTTGTGTTCCCTTGGGGACACAAATAAACAGACACACAGAAACATAAAGGCGGATTGCTTAATGCAACAGTATCCACACTGACAACACAGACAGCGTTTGTCACTTTGTAACATCTGACGTTGGAAAGGAAAGAGAAGATAAAAATGTTCATATAAAGGAAATGAAAAAGGAGCATGCTCTCATGTTCCAGTCACATACACAGTCTACAGGTGTGTGTGTTTCTGTTGCTTGAACCAGCCAAAAAACACAACTGCTGCTCCATAAATGCCTGTTTTTAACTCGATCTGGTCCCAGATGCAGACACCGTCCTTTTCTCTCTTTCAGTAGAATTCAGTTTGTAATCACAAATCGTGACTTAGAACAGAGGTTCACACACATAACCATGAGAACATCGAGCACCTAAAGCATGGACACAGGAAGTGCCTGAGATTGTGGAGCAGCTACTAACATGGCAAACTGCGATGACCACAAAGAAGTCTGCAGCATTTCAAACCACTCTCCCTCAATCTACATTTAAAGCTTCATCACTGTGGAGTATGAAATGCTGCTATTATTTTGAATAGGGTTCTAGTCTAGCACAGTCTAACATTTCTTCTTCATCTGGTCATATTACAATAAGAGAAACATAGAGAATAACCACAAGAATGGAGGTAAGCGCACAGCTACTACCCCTTACACCGTGGAGGACCAAACCTGCCAAAATAATAACTTAAACAAAAAGGTATGAAGTATCATGAAAAACATTAAGTAAAACATAGATCCTTATAATTGTTATAATAATCATAACTTTCCTTAATATTTAGCTTTGCATTCATTAAGGTATTTTTTAAACTTTATTCCCTTTCAATGTAAATTTTACTTGGCATTTCTGCACCAGTTTGCAGATGATGCGAATGAATTGACGATCGTTGGCAGCCACTGCTTCACTCAGGATATCGCTGAGATAAATGGCCTGTATTTGTATAGCTTTACTAGTCTCTAAGGACCCCAAAGCGCTTTACATATCCAGTCATCCACACAGTCACACACTGGTGATGGCAGCTACATTGTAGCCACAGCCACCCTGGGGCGCACTGACAGAGGCGAGGCTGCCGGACACTGGCGCCACCGGGCCCTCTGACCACCACCAGTAGGCAACGGGTGAAGTGTCTTGCCCAAGGACACAACGACCGAGCTCGAACCGGCAACCTTCCGATTACAAGACGAACTCCCAACTCTTGAGCCACGATCGCCCCTATATACCCCCCCTAAATATCACTCCTGCAGTAATTTGCATAATGATGTAGAACAAAAAGACGCTTTGGGACACATTAACTCATTCTCTGAGTCTTTTATTTCTATATGGTTTTATATTTTGGCATTTCTGGTCCTCCATGCTATTGATAGCAGAATAAAGGTAATAGGAAATAAAATGTGGGCGGGCTGGGAAATCATTATTTGGTTGATCATCCTAAAAACACACACACACACGTGATCCTGTGGATTTGAACGACAGCTTTTCTCTACACAAGTACAAATAAAACAACAAAAATCTGGAACTTATGAGACAAACTGATCAAAAGTTACAGCTGCTGCTACAAACGTGAGCGGAGCCCTGCAAACACCTTCTGTTTTTATATAAACAGAGCCGAGACACGTGAGCCCTCTCGTGTGGTATCTATGGCAACCACACGGAGCGTAGTAAACAAGTATTTTTTTTAACGCTTACATGCACACGTCACCACGTTTTGATTCTGAGGTGAGATTCGGAGCACGTTACCGTACGGTGTCGCTACAAGCACCAGTGTAGTTATTGATTACAGTTCACAAGTATCTTTGTTTACATTTCGTCCCTGCGCCGTCGTGTTAGCTCAGCACTGCAGCCGCTCATTGTTGGCAGTTCTTGTCCGGATGATGGATGACGCAGATTAAGGGTGTTAAGTCCGAAAGGGCAGCCAGCGCCCGAGCCCTTCAACGAGCCTCCGCACGTTCATGACATAAAAGTCGACATTGTGAGTGAAATCGGTGCAGATGTTGGAGTAAGTGTCCAGCAGGGTGCAGTAGAGCGCAGTCCCACCCACACTGATCACCACAGTAACGAGGCACAGCAACAGCAGGATCAGGCAGGAGTCTCCGCCCACCTCATCTGTAAGACAGGGACCAACGCCGTGTCAGATCCTCCGAGTTCACCATCATCAAACATGAAACATTTTAAATTCCTTTTCTATCTGAAACAAACTGCAGCAGCAGAAGAAGCTCTGACTGTACCGTGCTCGCTCCCGTCCTCCGGCTCACTGAACCGAACTTTGCGTTTGGAAGTTTGTTTATTAGTAGTATTGCTTGGGGGAGGTAACCCGTCCAGCGATGCTCTCCTCCTTTTCAGGATGGAAACCAGACCGTCTGGGGACGAGTTCTGGAGGAGACACAGAGACAGAACATAAAGAAGGAAGCACAGCAGCTTTGGGGAGTTTGCTCATGTTGACAAAAACAATGAAAAGATGATCGTCACGTTCAGCGGTTCTGTGCATGTTGGGATATTAAAGGAGGAAACCTTTAAACGCAGAGTTAGTTGGTATCAGTCCATTATTATTAGGATCACTTCTGATTCTGATGGATGTGCTAAAATAAAGAAGAACTCGCCAACAACAGGCAGTAACACCATTACTTTGTAACGCTGACCGTCTCGTCCAATGAGCTGGAGCGGTTTGTGAAGGCAAAATGCAAAACGATAATTAAACATTATGTGCACCAACACTGAAGTTCTCAGTACATCCTGTGATTGTAGAGCCTCCTTTAGCAGCATTACGTTGACGTAATGATTTTCTGCATGACTTTGTGGTCTCACACTGCTGTGGAGGAAATACGAACTTTGGTGCACTTTTCTGTGAGCATCCATTCATGCACAGCCTTTCAGTCAGGCTGACATTTGAACCTTGACTGGGCCAATCCAACATCTTGATTCTTTTGCTGCTGAGATTCATCGCTCTCAGCCTGCAATTCAAAGCCAGAACGATAAGCCCTTTTCCACCAGGCTTGACGGTTGCTGTGAGGTGTTTGTGCCAATCTGCTGTATTAGGTTTTTGCCAAACTGTGTGCTGCTGTGCGTTATGGACAAACATCTCCAGAGGACATCGTTCCAGAAGTCTTATAGTTTATTCAAAACCAGCTTAAGCTGTGCTGCCATGTTCTTTTATTTGAGAGAGTGTTTCTCCTTTCAAACAAACCAGATGCCATCAGACTTTTTCCAACTGTGCTGCCATGAACTTTAACATTTAACATGCTGGGACTGGAGAGTCCTGAGCTGTAGCTCTTGCGGGGTTTTGCCATTTCTCTGAGCACTGTACAGTCTGAACTCGGGGTGAATTTACTGAGACAACCACCTCTGATTAACAACAGTCTACAAAGTTTTCTAGTGAATAATCTTTTTCTCGCTGTAAAATTCAAAATGTTTGCAAATCGTCTTACAGGCCTTACAGCAGCAGTTGCTTCCTTGCTGCATTCGTAAAGGTGCAACAGATACACAAACCTGCTTTTTAAAAGTGACATGCTGATAAAACTTGACTCACCAAAACGGAAACATTAGCACTTTATACTGTAAAATGCTACAGAGAAAAGCCCAACAATCAGACGACCCCCTGTGAGCACGACGTTGGTGAAAGTGGAAAGACAAACATTCATTCACATACATTTAACTTTTTTCACCAATGCCTGAGTCGAATTAGTCGTTTTAGTTTAATCAAAGCAGAAGCACTGTCATGGCATTCAAGCCTGTGATTATAAGCATCCACAGCTTTGGACGTGAACATTTTAAAATTTAGTTGTGATTTATGATTTTGTTAGTGGGAGAAGCAGACACACAGCTGCACACACAGAGGCAGACATTATTCTCCGTGTTGGCCTGAATAATGTGTTTCAGGAGGAAGTCACGATTGGGCAAGCTCAGTATTCGAAGGGTCAGAGGGAGGAACTGCGTTCAACATCTTTGCCCAGCACAGAGGGCCCATTTGCAGTGACAGTGAACAGTCAGCCTCATCGTGCCTTTATTTACTGTGTGAGGCCACATTGTTAGCGGCGCGCTCGATGTTCCACTGGTCACAGTTAACTCTACACAGACAGACTTTTTGCACACTCTGGGACACAAATACAGCCAGGATCAGACATTATGGGGAAAAACATATGGTTTGATAAACCTTTTGTCCTTGTTCTCATCTAAAAGAATTCACTCAAAACCACAAATTCCAATCTCATAATTATACTAGAGGAAAACTCGCCACGGTTGCCAGCAGTTACCCTCTCGCGACCACAGACTTTATCCAAAAAGGGACAAAGCTCATTTGGAGCTTTACCTGCTACCATACTTTTTTTGTGGACCCAAAAGGACCACATTTCAACAGCAGTGGAGAAGTTATCAGCTCAGAAGCTTGGTTATCGAGCTGGACTGATAAAGGTGCACGAGATACTCATACCTGCTTAGCTACCTTTAATGCCAAGTAACTTATGTACAAAATACTGGAACTTTACTTACCAAGACAGAAACATTAGCATTATGTATCGTAAGCTAAAGATTCTTCAATAATACAGAGGTAATCCCAACAACTGGACATTTCCCTGTGAGCAAGCACTTGGCAACAGTGGGGAGGAAAAACTCCCTTTTATCAGGTAGAAACCTCTGGCAGACCCAGGCTCACAGAGGGGCGGGGCCATCAATGAGGCCATGTTATTCATCACAGCTTCATGAAAGATGCTTTAGAAAGCACCAACAACACAATCACAATGGAAAGCTCCATTTCACAGGCAGGAATCAGCTGAGGTGAACCTCAGCTGACAGGATTGGCTACGCTTTCCTGCGTCTGTCAGTGTCAGTAGTTACACCCCGCCATGCACACACACGTTTAACATTTGTTTAAAAAATCCACCCACTGATTGGCTGTAAGACAAACTGCAATTTTCTAACCACTTCAGGGCCAACATTCACCCAGCAATCGTCACAAATTGAAATCTATATAGGTTCACCTATTGGCTAAAATGAGTAACAATTTTTCCACCGGGGATTAAAAGTTCGACAGTGTTATATTTGTATAAAAGACAGAAAGCGCTGTGGAGCTCTCCGAGCCCGCCAACGTGCTGCCTGAGCTCATCGCAGCGTTTAGTCAAAGCATATAAATAATTTGTCCAAGTCACACAATGTTTGTCGAGACATTTTGGAGGGTTTTGAGTCAGATTTTTCATGTTTCTTCTAATCGGAAGGTTGCCAGTTCGAGCCCCAGCTCGGACAGTCTCGGTCGTTGTGTCCTTGGGCAAGACACTTCACCCGTTGCCTACTGGTGGTGGTCAGAGGGCCCGGTGGCGCCAGTGTCCGGCAGCCTCGCCTCTGTCAGTGCGCCCCAGGGTGGCTGTGGCTACAATGTAGCTGCCATCACCAGTGTGTGAATGTGTGTGTAAAGCGCTTTGGGGTCCTTAGGGACGAGTAAAGCACTTTACAAATACAGGCCATTTACCATGTAAGGAAGTACAAATATTGCTGATGAAAAGCATTCAAAACCTTGTGAAATTTGATAGAAAGGGATAGTTTCTAGTTAAATGAGCCATGATCCCGAAGCCATCAGTGCAAGGCCTGGATCCTGTGATTACATCCCCACCCCTGCAGGAACCAGGCCCCTTCAGCTCAGTGGTTCAGCCAGAACATGATGTCTTGGCTCAATAATCTAACACACTTGGCAGGGTGGACGTCCCAAGTGTGAGGCCACACCAGTGAACATGGGTGGAGGCTTTCTCAACAGAAAAATGATGAAGGTCTCATTCAGGGATGACGGATATGATCCGTGGGAGTGTCCAAGGAAGAACTGAGCTGCTCAGCATGTGGAAAGGATAAAGGAAACAAGCCAGGAAGGAAAAGGGAATAAATGAAGGGTGTTGGATGGAAAGTGAAAATATATTTGTGCCAATGCAGTACTGTGCAAAAGTCTTGAGCCAATCCTAATTTCTTTCTGTTTTGCTTTGAGCGTCAGACTTGTACTCGGGTCGCCGATGGGCTCAGTCTTTCATGGATAGTCGACATATTCGTCCAATCGCCCAACCCTAACTTGTACCTTGTTCCTCATTTTCAGAGGAATCTTCATCCTTGTTTTTGACCTAACACATACCAATGAATCATTCAAGCACAAAAAAGAGCCAGTGTTGTGTCTACAGACCAAAGACAACAGCAATGAACCAATTTTAAATGGTATCTTTAGACACTTTGTTACCAGCAGCTTTCCATAAAATGAGTTTTCCCCTTTCTTCAGTTGAGTCTATGAAAGATGCCTGATAGGTCCAAAGTGCTAGTTCTGCCCCAACGAGGTGATTCCCAAAGAGCTAGTAGCCCAAACGTGGCACGTGGTGTGCAGCGTGGCCCTCAAAGCTTGGAGGAAAGCAGCAGAGACAAAAACCCATCTGCAGCACATGAACAGAATCTGAAAGTCATGTCCTTAAAACAGGAATAAAATCCTGCTGGAATTGTGCAAACTCTGTCGTCTTCATCCCCATTTTCTTACAAAATATCAAGAAATAACGAGCAGCTCAAGACTTTTGTGCAGTACAGTATTAATTTAATATCTGACATGACAACATACTCATTTGTTGTCATTTCATATCCTCGAGTGGCGCTAACGCGGGTGTAAAGGCAGCTAAAGTGCAGTCCTACCCCCTCCTTGTGGGACAGTTTGGCCAGGTCCTTGTCTGATGCCTGAGGTACTCCTGTTGGCCACTCCACTTTCACCTCTTCCTCTTCTGGTGTCTCCTCACACTGCTCTTCTTCTTCTTCTTCTACTTCCTGCCCTTCCTCACATGTATCTCCGTCCTCCTCCTCACAGCCCGTCTGTGGTGATGAACGCTCTGACTCCAAAATCAAGCTGTGTTCCTTCACTTCCTCCTGGTGCGTAGTTTCTGACGTGTTGGCTGGAACAGAAATGGAAAAATCGTATGACTTACACTTTGCCACGATGCGCTCATTGTGCATTGTTTTGGTTGCATAGGTGAAAATCTAATTACCAACCGTCCCATTAGTTCACAAACACAAGGTTCACCTCAGCACCCAAAGGTGAACTCAGCATATTACCACATTACTTTACTCACGCTACGATATTTTTCCCATTTTTTACATTTTGCAAAATGCTGAGTAATCCATCCGTCTGCTTCCACTTATCCTTTTCAGGGTCGCGGCGCTGGAGCCGATCCTGGCTGTCATAGGGCGAGAGGCGGGGGGCTAACACACACATTCACACCTATGGGCATCCATTAGCCTATCCCCACTAAGTGCATGTCTTTGGACGGTGGGAGGAAGCCGGAGTACCCGGGGAGAACCACCCACGGGAGAACATGCAAACTCCCCGGCCGGATGATGGAACTGAACCTTCTTGCTGTGAGGCAACAGTGCTGACCACCGTGGAACTGTGCTGCCCCTATGCTGAGTAACAATATACATAATTATTTATTATTGTATATCTTATTACTCTGTCTCTCTTGCTGAGCATGTGTATGACAAAAGAATTTCCCTCAGGATAAATAAAGTTCTTCTTCTCTTACTACCTTTGTTCAACTGTAAAGTCAAACGTTGTCATATCTACAGTTAGCTCACTGCAGTTATTTCTGAATGTAAAATACACCAAACTGAAAGCTGCCATAAATGTTGCTGTCAGGCTGCTGAACACGCAGCATGGAGTACACACTTCTAAACACATCATCATCTGTGGTGATTCTTTGGTATCAGTTCTGAACAGAGACACGTGTTTACCTTCATCACGATGCGGCTGTAGTGTCGTGTTGAGCTTGTTCTGGTGATTGAAACATAGTCGACAACTTTAATGCAAAGTAAAGGTCTTAAATTGAGCCTGAACAGCCTGAACAGCCTGAACAGCCTGAACAGCCTGAACAGCCTGAACAGCCTGAACAGCCTGAACAGCCTGAACAGCCTGGCTGCTGGTCTGTCCTACCTGTTCCACACTGATGGATGGTCTGAGTGATTCCAAACACAGGCCAGGCAGGCAGCAGGAGAAAAGAGGAGGAGAGGACGTTAATATATTACTGAACCTATGAGAAAACAACTTTAGACATTTGTCAGGCTCTCATCTGTTCTTCAGTCAAACTACATCCTCCTGCTTGCAGAGACTCTGGCCTGCAGTAACATAGCAGCTGGATCAGAGCGTGACCACCAGCGTCCGGCGTGCAAACTCCTGCTGTCTGTCTGCATCGAGCGGAAATGAATCTACAGGGCAAATCTTTGGTGCCCTTCCTGCAATATTGATATTCATATTTACACTTATTCAAATTGGGTTTCATTCCTCCCTCTATCCTCACGCATCATCGATACCGTGGCTCAGTCTCAACTTCTTGATTTGTCCTCGTCAGAGAGACAAAGATAGCAGCAGATTGTTAAAGCAAAACTGGTGCTAAAAGCTTTCTGTGTGGCAGCGATGACGGCAAAAGGAGGGAATGAAAGCATTCACTTCAGACACTGAGCTGCTCGACTCGTCTGTGTATGAGCGGAGCCACATCACAGACACGCGACAGGCAGCAGAGCGTCCCACTGTGGTTTACCTGAGGTGAGTTCTGCACATCTGGCTCAGCGTCTCAAAGTGTTTCTCGCTCATGCCGTCTGTCTCAGGAGGCAAGCTGCTGCCGCTGTCCTTCTCCCTCTCTTGGCTCTCTGTGAACACATAAGTGTAACAATCACACGCAGTTTCATTTTGCCACAAGAATATGTTGTGTGTGTTTTTTAGGACTGATAAGATGCCAAACCCCAGTTCTCCTGCAGGACTGTGAGGTTGGAGAGCAGGCGTTCATGGTAGAGCTTCTCCAGCTGTAAGAACTGGATGGCCCACTGGTCTGGCAGCACAACCAGTTAAAGACACAACACACACTGGCTCCTAAAATAACATCAATAACATAAGGCCATAACACAAAAAGCAGAGTGTATTTAAGGAGGTCTGTAAGACGACCTGTGTCCCTGACAGCCATCAGTTAAAAATACTTTCACCAAACCATCTTTGCTAATACGTCAAATTTGTAACAACTACATGTTAATTACTAGGAAATTGAATTGTCGGCTGTTTTATGAAGTGAATATTAAGTCCTGACATGCTCGAAGTTATTTGGACAATATAAACGACGCACTGCAAAGTGAAGGGCATCGATAAGCTTAGAGTCTGAAGGGCAGGTAGAACAATTAGCAACTTTGGGATTTATGTCATTTGGTGTAACAACATCAGCTGAATATGAAACACCGTGACAGAGAAAGCTACTGCCAGCTACCACTGAGGGTTAAACTACCCGTCAGCCGAGACAAACGTGACACATGACTTTAAAAAAGCAAGAATCGATGTTTTCATACTCTACAGTCACGTCAGTTTTTTTAGCCGTGACGTGTTCACGATCCAAACCTCCCTTTGTTGCTTCTGCTGTGCTTTCTCTGCAGGACGTGTTTCTCTTTGCCTCACAGACTTCGTCCTTTTCTGATCAATCAGGACCTCTGTCTGTCTCCTCACACATAAACTCATTACGTACACACCACACTCCTTACAGCGAGACAGCCCATAGCTGTCACCACAGCAACAGCACAAACAGCAGGAGGAAACACTGCGAGCCCCTTGGGCCTCAAGCCAAAACATGGGGAACACCCATCGCCTGAGAGACACAGAAAACCGCATTAAGTCCACAAAGAGAAAGACGAACCCTTACTGAGGTTTTCTGCCCTCCACCTTTCAATTATAACAGCGTTTGCTCAGCAGTGTTACCTTTGACCCTGTACGCCGCCCAGCCCCAAAGTTAAGGGAGCTAATGTAAACATGAGGTGAGGGTCCGTGCTGCACATGCTCCTACACCCTTTTTCATTATAATGCCTGCCGTCTAGCTCAGTTATGATTCAGTTACAAAACACCAGTGACTGAGTGCAAGTGTCACAATGAGATATGAGCTGCCCTTGGAAGGATACAGTCCTGTTTGAGTGAGTAGGCCTCTGCAATCTAAAAGAAGAGACAGGAAAAAAGACGCTTCATTAGACACGTCATCATCCATCTGTGAAGCAGAGCTTCAGCTACTCTTACTCTACATTTGGGGCCTAGCTGAATGTATGTTTCTGTTTGAGTCGCACTAAATCCTTTCAAAGACGAGGGTCACATGATCTCCTCTACCAGGAACCGCCGCCACGGAGACGACCTGAGAAACACACAGTCACGTGCAGCAGCTTACGGCCGGTGGTGGCGTACCTGCCTCACAGATGCCTTTAAGATTAGAAACAAACGAGCAGCATAAATCACACAGACCATCCTGGAAAAAGGATCATCTAGTGAAGAGACAGCAGTTCAGTATCTGGCCAGATGTGAAGCCTTTTCCTCGTCCATCCCTCCTGTTCATCAGTTCCAACATCCGGAGTGCCAGAAAGTGTTTGTTGGGTCTTTTGAAGATGACATTTTGATAAAAAAGATGTGGTAGCTTCATCATTTTTATGATTTTTATGAAGCTCTGTATTCACAGCCGTCCCGATGATGTTGGCAGTGATATGCAGGTAAAGAGCTTGCATGTGTCAGCATTCCTGTGAACTTGTTGCAATAAGCAGCAGGAACGTCATGCCCGACACACAAACAGTCCCGACAGTGAGAGACCCCACCCTTTAAACACAGCTGCTCTACTGCGTATCCACTGTAATCTACTAAAACCCAGCAGATTCTCATATTAAACATGAATTCATTATTTTTCAAGGATCTGTGTATGAGAGCAGAAACATTTCTATCCCACAAAATCCAAATAATTCCAACATTTTCTTATTAGCTGTGTGAGTTCTTTTGGGTATCTTTACTTTTAGACAAATATATTTAATGACACATTCAGTGCTCTGAAACAGCAGGTAGCAGCATTTACGACACGTTTCTGCTAAAGGTGTATTTCCTGCCTCTGTGGCGTCCCTCACAACAACAGAAATTCCTTGTATTTTCAGCGGACTTGCTGAAACAACTTGAATCTACACGTCAGCTGATTCTGCCCCGGCTCTCCTTTCCTTTATGAGAATTTCGAGCAAAACAGCTTCCCCTTTGTTTCAGCTGCAGCCGGCTGCAAAGCAAACGAGTGCAGTAGCTGAAACAAATGAACCGTGTTGTGAGTGCTGTTAGGGAACAGTGACAGGAAAAGTGCTGCACGAGGATCCTTTTAAAGCGAACACAGGGCTGAAACCTCTCTTCTAATTAGCTGAACACAGATGGGGGGGGGCTGCCAGGTCACTGCAGAACACTTTCAAATAGCTGACCCTTTAAACAATAAACACAGCCACAGCTTTCATTTGCACGCCATTTGTAAATGTAACGAGC